CCCATTTCTCGTTCAAACTTTTTGTACCAAGGGTCGAAAAAATGTGCACATGTCTAATAATGTTGGTTGAGAATTACCCATCAAGCTTTGATCATATCTCCCAGTAGTGGAAAATCGAGAGAAAAAATCATTTTTGACAATCAATTTAAACTCACGAAGAGAATATGAATCACTAGAATTTAACTTTAAAAAATGTTTTGTTATTAAATGAATAAGTGGTTATACGATCAATGCCGTAGGTGAACTTTCAGAAGACATAATTGTTGTCACCAATACAAAAGGTTTTAAACAATCACGTAGTTCTTCTAAAAAACGCCAATCTCTTTCGGCTATGTCTAACCCTTTTGCGATTTGCGATGATGTAATAGTCTGATTATTTAGCACTGCTGTAATTGAAGAACGTTGCTCGATTAATCTATCAACCATACGATAAACAGAATTCTACCGCGTTTTAACAAATTRTATTAATTTTCGTTTTGGAGCATCGGAAGTATTTTAAACATTACGATAAGCATCATATGCAACATTTGAATGTTTGAAGTGCGATACAATACTTTTACATGTATCCAAAATTAATTTGATATGATCAATTTGTAGACCAGCGTTCATACTACATTGCTTAGTGTGTGCAAAGCAGTGTACACCATCAATATCTTTTTAGCGGGAGCCAGTTAAAACGTCGACAATCAAAATAYCGACGGTTGAAACATCGACAAGTACAAAATGTCGACGGATCATTATATCGACAAATAAACAATGTTGACAGGTCAATATGTCGACAAATTACAATATCGAAAAATTAAATTAAATTTTATTATTATTATTTTAATTTATTTAAATACGAAATATGAATTATTTAATTAATTAAATATTCTAGGGTATAGATATAAATATAAATAAAATGTATAAACATGAAATAAAATAAAATTATAATGTCATATTGTAAGCAATTCCTCTTAAAAACTCTAAAACTGGAACGTTTCCGTCATTTTGTATGACGTTTTGGATTCTGTTCTCTCGTTGTTCATTTTTCTCATTTGGACGTGGACGAGGTACTCCGCTAAGGATTGACTCAAAATTGATTTGTTGATTGTTTTTTGATTAAAAACAGACCACAATTCTGGTGAAAATAATGGTAATCCTCTAACAATGTTGCCATTTCTTAGTGTTTTACGAACTCGACCTGGAACATAATTTTCCTCAAACCACATTAAAAGATATTCCGTGCCTGGTTCTATTTCTAGCTGTTTTTAACTTCAGCAAATGCTGATGGAATTTCTTCGGATGGTAAAAAAGCGAGAGCAAGCAAATGACGGATTAGCAAACTGAATTCTTCGTCTTCGCCATATTTAATAGAAAGACCAACAGACTGAACTTTTCGCCACATACTCTGTCCCAAATGAAAGAGACATAATCAACTTTGACTATTTGTGAACTCTTGTTTAACTGCACTAATAGCCGCTTGTTCAAAATCGGTTAAAATATAGTCAGGCTGTAAAACTATATTATTTTCCGATGCATAGTCTTGTAAATCTTGAAACATACGAATATCACATTGTTTAGACTTACTACTTAAAAGAGCAAAGACCAGAGGTAAAATTCGCGAATTTGTACAATGTCCAACTGGAGCATGAATTGAATATAACTGGTGGAATATTGTTGGTACTGTTTCGTTCCATCCATTATCCAGTATTTTGCCAATTCGAGCTTACGGAGGTTCGCTAAAGTTGTAAATAAAAGTATTTTATCATTTCCAATTTCAGATTCATTGATAAGAAAAAGTTCACTATTTAATGTTTGCTTTAATTCTTCGGGTATAACCAGCAAATCCAATGACGTAGGTTCTGACATAACATTTTGTCTACGCACTCTTTTTATTTGTTGACGCATTGCATCTTTTGAAGGCATGGATTGGGCATTATTTATGTCCATAGAAGCATAAATACTTTGAATTATCTGGGCTGGTTTGTCTCTTGAGGTCTCAGCTTTCTGTTTTAAGGTTGTTATTATTTTTGCAATTTTCGGTTTACTGGCTTCGGGAGCATGATTGTGGTTATTATTTTGACCATATAAATGATGTTGTCCATTTACAAAAAATGTTTGTGCTGTTCCTTTACAACCAATAGAGAAATACGTTGATCGCATCTCCAATAAAATTTATTTTTACGGTTTTGATTTTGAAGGAAAAGATATCCATGAACATTCAGTTTATCTTTTTATGAACCAAACACCGATAGCGCTCAAACCATATCCCTACCCGTAGGCAAAACAGACTACAATCGATACCATGGTACAGGATATGGAACAACAGGGACTTGTGGAGCAAAGCACATCACCATGGGCCGTACCCGTCGTCTTAGCAAAAAAGAAAGACGGATCGCCCCGACTGTGCATCGACTACAGACGACTCAATGACGTCACTGAGTCCAACGCTTATCCAATGCCGGACCTCAATACGTTGATACGTCAAATGCGAGGCGCAAAAATATTTAGCATTTTGGACCTTAAGTCAGGATACTGGTAAGTACCACTTAACCAAAACGCTCGAAAATACACGGCWTTCCGGACGCGWCGGGGTCTGTATCARTTCCGAGTCCTYCCCTTTGGCCTTAAGAACAGCCCCATGACCTTTGTACGTTTAATGAACGAAGTA